AGAGAGAGATTCGATCGCTGCTCTGATACAATTTGATAGGAAATACTTAGATCCAAGTATTTCCTATCTATTCGAGTGGGGAAAACAGCAATAGAGTTGCTGTTTTTCTGCAGGAAATCAGCCCAAAGCACAAGGAAACAGTAGAAAACAGAGAAAACTGTAGGAAATCTGAGAGAAAAACACGCAATGGACTTATATTCCACTAGTAGATGATCAAAACGAAAGCAAGATACAATGTTCTTCGATTCGAGAGGAAGAACAACTCTCCTACAATCTCCGGCAACGCCAAGAGCCCAAGCAAGAAACCCTAGATCTCAAATTGCATTCAAATTCAAGATGAGCCCCCCTCCCTCCTAATCCTCCTAATTAACAATAAAGGATTCCTACAAATTACCTAAACAGCCCTTTGCATTCAAAAATTTCCCTCTCACATAATTAAATTAGCCCCAAGTGGGGTCCACCTTGTCTGCCCCCGCCTGGTATAGACCCGGGCTGAACCGGGTCCAGCCGGCCCCTCCTGGGCCGGTTCACGCGTAACATATTCCAAAGAGGGGTTTCCAAAATTAAGTTATAGTATTTGGAAAGCTTTTTGAATTTCATATTTGAATTAAAATTCAGTTAAATAACTTTCCTAAGTTCTTGGACTTAATTTAGGAAAGCAATTAATGCCTCTTTAAAATTTGAATTTCAAATGCGTAGGCTTGGGGGAAAGGTGGGCCGGTGGGTGGAGGGTTGGAGGCCGACGGCTAGATGGCCGGCCGGCGGGTGGGGGAAATATTCGGCGGCTTGGGCGGCCCAAGGAGGTCGAAGGCAAAGGTGGGAAGGGCTCGGGTTTTTCCAAAAGAAGTTTGAGGGTGGTGATGCAGGCGGTGGGGACTTTAGGTGAGGAAAAATGCAAGGGAAGAGAAAAATAAAAAAAGAAATTGAAAAACCGCGAACCTTGGAATCCACCAAGATTGACGGGTATTGCTTTTTCCCACAATGGGTTTCTCCTCTCAAGAACTCATAAAGAGATCTAGCAAGAAAGTTGAATTCTCATTCATAATCATCATTAGAAGATAATACAAAAACTAGGCCTTCATATATAGGCCTCCAAAGCACAAAATGTAAAAGACACAAATGCCCTCAGGCTACAACATGACACAAATCCCTCATAGGGTTACAAATGGAAAACTGAAAAATAAATAAAAGAAATGCACTAAAACACATAAATAAAAACTATGAATTGTAGCCGTCGATCTACGATCCTGCCGATGTCGAAATGTACGGTGGATGTCCTCATCACCTTGCTTCATCGGTTTAGACTATAGAATAGTAGTGTTTTTGGCATTGCTCTTGTTATTCGATTTTTAATCAATATAGGAATTTCCAAATCAACTGAAAAACACAATCCCCATGGTATTACTGGATAGCCATTTTATATGCCTTATAGGTAATAGGTGTTAACTTGTTAATAAGATCTTTACTGTGAGATTTAAACTTCTCAACTCTACTTGAGGTAGAGTTTATTCTCTAAGTATAATAGGTGGATATGCATTGCATAAACTGCACTTGCAGAGTAATGAGTTTATTTTTTAGTATTTCTTCATGCTTGCTAGAGCTCTAATGATTTCGACATGCTTTGTTGTGAGTCTCACTTCCTTTTAATTAATATGAAACTTAATCTTTGTGATTTTATTGTAGGATTCATCGCAATGTATGCAACTCTCGCAAGTAGAGATGTGGTATGTTGAAATTTTTAATATTTTTTCTTTATCTTACTTTATTTAGTTTTAGTTCAATTAGCTTAACATTCTTAGTCCTGCTTGTGAACAGTGCTTGCTCTTCTTAAAAGAGTTGATTCTTTCTTTCTATTTTTATTCAATACCTTGAAGAAGTTGCTCATTTCCTTTCCCATTTGTTGTACTGCTTTTCTAGGACTGTTGCCTGATTCCTGAGTCACCCTTTTATCTGGAAGGAAAAGGTGGCCTTTATGAATTTATAGAGAAGAGACTTAAAGAGAATGGCCACATGGTTCTTGTTGTTGCTGAGGGAGCAGGACAAGAGCTTATTGCTGAAAGCATGCGCTCCATGGATCATGAAGATGCATCCGGAAATAAGCTGCTCCTGGATATTGGCCTCTGGTTATCGCAGAAGATTAAGGTATACTTATTCAGCATATTAGCAGTGAAATAATAACTAAGATTTCGTTTGGGATGGTTTTAAAATAGCTTTTTAGTACAAAAAATTTTATTTTTGTACTAAAAAACTGTTTTAAGAAGCAGTAAGAAAGCAGTCCCAAACGAAGCCTAAATCTATATGTTCCACAATTTTATGAATCCTAACTGTTTTTGATTTTGTGTGATTGTTTTAATTAAAACATTTATCTGAGAAATTAATAGAATAGTTATTGTGGAAAGTGGATATTTATGGAACTTTCTACTAATTACAGGACTACTTCTCAAGCAAGAAGAAGATGACCATAAATCTTAAGTATATTGGTGAGTTAGTTTGTGTTGATATTTTTTCTATTAAATCCTGCTGTCATAAATCATCCGTCCTCACTGGAATGTTTTAACAGATCCGACATATATGATCCGTGCAATTCCCAGCAATGCTTCTGATAACGTGTACTGCACTTTGTTGGCTCAGAGTGCTGTACACGGTGCAATGGCGGGTTATACTGGTTTCACAGTAGCGCCTGTTAATGGCAGACATGCTTATATACCATTTTATGTAAGATCCCTTAAATCTTTTTCATTATTTTTGAGATATGTTTTTTAAAGGAAACACGCATTCATCCTGAATGTCTACATAACGAGGAACTTGTAAACATGTGTTATTTTCATTGAGCATTGAAATGCTTAATTGTTGCTTGGAATTTTTTAATTGCTTTTTCCCACTAATTCTATTTGGAAATTTTAGACTTCGTTTGGGACTGCTGTCTTACTGCTTCTTAAAGTAGCTTTCTAATGCAAAAATTAAAATTTTGTACTAGAAAGTTGTTTTAAAAAGCAGTAAGAAAGTCATCCCAAATAAAGCCTTAATCACTTCACGTTGAAAGAAACCTTTCATGATCATGTAATGTCTTTGATGACAGGATGATTAATGTCCTAGTTCATAACAAATAAAATTTAGGCTTCGTTTGGGACGGCTTTCTTACTGCTTCTTAAAGTGGCTTTTTAGTACAAAAATTAATTTTTTTTTACTAAAAAGTCGTTTTAAGAAGCAAAGAGAAAGCCATCCCAAACGAAGCCTTAGTCTTCTTTACATATGTTGGGTAGCTCAAATTATGCTTCACATTTCATCAAATTTGGCAGCATTTATGCCTTGGTAGTGAATTTAATGCATTGAAGCCTTGGGAAAAGATTTGGAGGGAATTTTAAGATTGACGTTTCAAACATGTGGATTATCATTTAGTTCAGAAGATTTGGAAAACCATGAATGCTAAATTTCTGATGTTTTATTTGAACCTTAACTTTTGGCAGAGGATCACTGAAACTCAAAACAAGGTTGTAATTACAGACAGAATGTGGGCAAGGCTGCTCTCTTCAACCAACCAACCGAGCTTTCTGAGTCAAAACGCCATTGAAGATGCAAAGAAGGAAGAAGAGCCAGCAACTCAGTTGTTGGAAGGGGAAAATAGTACTAACCATCATGACGACGAAGAGCTTTTCTCTTCAGCCAACCAACCGAACTTTCTGAATCATAACGCCACTGAAGTTGCAAAGAAAGAAGAGAAGCCTCCAACTCAATTGCACGAAGCAGATCTTTGTGATAATGGTGTAGCAAACAAACCTTCCGGGTGAGGTCCTTCAAAATTCACTGTATTATATATTAGATATATAGATTAGGATAAGCCCAGGAGCAGAGACTTATATTTTTCTCTGTGGAGGTTGTTTGTAAGTTTTATATGTTTTATGCCATGATCATTTGAGGTATTATGTAAAAGATATATAATACTTGTTACAATAGAAACTGGTTTGTTAAGCCAATTTTGTACAATGCCTATATTTTAGGTAGATCCTAATCTATTGTTCCTCGTTTAAATTTCTTCTAATGATTGGTGATTTTCATGAAATCAATTAGGCTTCATTTGAGATGATTTTCCTGCTATTTTTTAAAATAACTTTTTAATAAAAAAATTAAGATTTTTAACTAAAAAACTGCTTTAAAAAGCAAGAAAAAAGCCGTCCTAAACGAAGCCAGAGGCTTCGTTTGGGCGGCTTTCTTCCTGCTTTTTAAACGGCTTTCTTCCTACTTTTTAAAGCTGCTTTACAAAACAGTAAGAAAGCCGTCCCAAACGAAACCTTAGTCTGTGATGGTATACCTAGAAATTAGCACTTAATGCTGAACAAATTCAACTGGAAACTGAGTAATGTATCTACAATCCAGTCTTAGAATGATGGACGGTTTCATGGCATCCTCAAACAATTGACCAAACTTAGTAATCATTTACTAACTGAAAGTTGCGTGGAAGTTCTTAGGTGGGTATAAACTTCATCAGACTAGTTTAAATTAGTAACGGCCATATCCAGAGGCCTTTCACATAGCTGCAACACTCCATGTATTGATTTGATGGTTATATTGCTGAGATAGTTCAACAGTGAAAGTGAAATTAGGAGTTTGAATCCTTATGTAATTGCAATGATTCTTCCTTATTACTCTAAACTTTTGAATTTGTAGAAGTTTATATGCTATTACATTTTTACTCAATTTAACACATTATATAACTCTTCCTGGATGATAGAAGGTTAATTTTGATGCCTTTGTTGCAGCAGGTGCTGCTTCAGATGGTGCTTATCTATCTCTGCTATTTAATGATCTTTGGTGCATACAATGGTACATATGGCTGAACTTTGTTCTTGTGAGAGTAAGTATTATGCTTGCTGGCATTCTTAGAGGGGGCTTAACTGAGTAGGTGAAGTTTTCGTCATTGCGACGGATTTTCTTTCTTTCTTTCTTTCTTTTTTCTGCGGGTCTTGAATTAAGAACTAGAGAGAATATCTAACCCATTCTTTATGCTTGTGATGACTTGATGAGACAAATCTCAAGGGCTTTTGCCTTTGGATCTAATTGATTTTCTTATTTGACTATTTGTGTCTGGGGAGCTTTGAGCAAAAATAATTTTATAATGGTATGGAAATGTTTATCAGGGGAGTGAAGGGAGGGAATCAAAAGGGGGTAAAATTGTTAATAGTTGTGAATATTGACATTTGTGTGATAGTTTACATGATATAGGTGGGAGGGTGGGAGTTCTATACATAGCTAAAGTTTGAGTTGTATGTATGTAATTTATCCTATAATATATTTTAATACTTAGTATTCTATTAGCTATAAATAACTTTGAATAATTGATGCAATCATGACATAATGTTGTTGAGCAGTATACAACAACAACAAGTTTTTATGCATTATTTGAGCAATATACAACAAGTCATAAAATTATTAAGCATCAACAAAAATTGTATCAACTTATTATTAAATATAAAAAAAAAAATCATATTCTACTATTTATAAGTTTTTAATTATTTTACTATGTATGACTTAAAGTTCATATGTGATCATTCTTTTACTGTTTTCTAAAACAAATTTTTAGTGCAAAAATTGGAGAAAAATGATTTATGAAGCCGACCTCACATAGTGGGATAAATTCTTGATGTTGTTGTTGAAAAAAGTTTTGGTACTAGAAAGCAATAAGAAAGTTATCCCAAACGAAATCTTATTGAAGCATAACAATCAACATTAATACTTTAATGTTATAATCCACACTCTGTGTGATGTATAAAACTAAAATTACGTTGACTATCGCTTTATTAGATATAAATTAAAATTTTAGCCCTTATGCTTTGAATTGGTTGCCTAAATATTTCTTTATAAAAAATATATAATGTTGACACGCCACATAAATAAATAACTCACTCTATTAAAAAATATTGTCAATTCATCTATAAAGAGTCTATGATATATCTTAGACCATATTCATATTATGTACATAGAAGAAAATCAATAAATTATAGTGGATAATATTTTTGAGTTTGGAATGCCATTACTAAGCCTTATTTAATCATGAAGTAGTCATTAGTCATATGCAATATAATTGAATTCTACAAACATCTATTAGAAAACTATCTCATCAATCCCTAAAAATTATGAACCAAAATCCTAATATTCTAAAATTGACAGTATATGCACTTAATCATATTTTTAAATGTCTTAGAATAAAAAACTAAAGCTCTAAAAATATAGAATTGAACCTAACTATGCATTTAATCATATTTTCATAAAACACTAAAAAAAAAACATAAAAGAAAATTAGAACCCAAAATACTTATAAAGAATGAGAGAAATTATCTTAGAAGTGTAAATTTGAAGTGAAATAATAAGGTAACTGATCATAAAAAAATTAGAAGTTTTTTAAAGTGAGAATAACCATTTGTTTGCCTAATTATGAGGATAATTATTGTTAGAATTTTGCCTATTATGAATCCTAACAAACCAACAAAATTTCTAGCAAAATCATTAGAAAAAATTTCACCATTGCACCCCTATTAATTATATATTTTCTTATAATGGTAATCTAATTTAGACCAACCAATGAAATAATCTTTTTAAGAGATTTTAGTGAGTGTGTGCCTATTTATTGCCAATGGATTCTATTTCATACTAAAATTCATCACAAGTAATTTTCAAGTTTTTTTTTTTGTTTATTTATCATTAATATTATAAAAACTTGTTTAATAAATAAAAATTAGAAAGCATATGTCAAACAAGCACAATTATTTATAAATCATTACTGAATATGACACGTAGGGTCGCAAGTGACCTTCTCGGTAGTCCCCTTGGTTAACATGACATCTTTAGTTAACTAATATTCTATCATGCTAAGTTTGGCTAAGAAACAATTGCTCAAATTCAATGTTAGTTAATTATACGCGTGCCTCTAGAATCTTCTTATGATTAGTGATCATATATATATATATATGACAATCATATATTAAAATACTTCATGTGATTAAACCCTAACTTAATGTACATCATAAAATTCTTATTAAAATAATATTTTTATGATGATTGTCATTGAATAATAATGACTAACAAACTTAAATATATTCTCTTACGAAAAATTATAATCTTACAAGTCATTACATTCTTCACCATTTCCAAAAAAACCACCCTCAAATTTTTTTCTAAAGAGGCCAAGCTTCTAACTCCTATGTAACTTTGCATTTAAAATGATTTTTTTTCATAATATTTGAACCAATGGTACATTTTTATTATAATATTTACTTTGCTATGAATACAATTGCAAAGTAATCAAATCTTTTCAGCTGTTTCATCCATCAATTTTGATTAATTTTAAATAACCTCATAGAGACAATTTGGATTGTATGAAATTTTTATTTAATAGTCATTGTTATTGAACTTTTAATTTTTGTGATTTAAGCTTCGTTTAGGACGACTTTCTTACTTCTTCTTAAAGCAATTTTCTAGTAAAAATTTATTTATTTTACTAAAAAACTACTTTAAGAAGTAACAAAAAAGCTGTCCCAAACGAAATCTTAGTCTTTATCATATTATACGGAGCTTTTAAAAAAGAGGTAACATTAAGATATAAATCTATATTAAATTGAATTTCATTTGGATGACAAATTAGAAAGTTCATGTGGGAATACATATACAAATATTCATTGGCAACTAAAGCTCTCACAAACTTAAGGATATTTGCATTTTTATATAAAAAAAACCCTAAATGGGCATAATCATTACTTAGGGTTTTTAAAATTGACGTTATAAGTTTCTTTCTACAGTCCCAATATAAAATAAAATTCAAAGATTTAGATATCTTGCATATGAACATTTTTTCTAACAATAAATAGAAATCAGATATTATTATAACCAATTCATTATAAGAATTACGTTGAATTTCATAAAGAATAAAATATTGAGTTTTATATTAAACATTCAATATTTAATCAAAATTCCTCGTCCTATAAAATAAGGATTTCTTTTTTTGAACAGGAATATCTACCTGCCGCCACTCCAAAGAGAGTGTTTGGCGATGTAACTAATCGCTTGGCGGAAACTAGCGAGGTCACCCACCGGCATCGGACCCACACTTGTTTTTCTCCACTGAATGGGGATTCGAACCCGAAATGAGGTGTTCCCAACCTTGCTCGCCTCACGAACCACCCTAAACCTCAGTTGGTATAAGAAGGATTTATACTTGCTCCATTTGGAAGTTTGACTAAGATTTCTTTTAGGATAACTTTTTTTTATTATTATTTTTTTAAATAAGTTTTTAATATATAAAAAAATATTTTAAAAAATAATAAAAAAATTATGTCAAATGAAATTGTAAATTTGTAATGACATAATTTTTAAAAGTGCGCTATGTACATATATAATTAAATTAAAAAAAATATACATTTGTATAAAACTACAAAATATAATATTAGTATAAAAATAGCTCCATAAATGGAGAGATGATCAGTTTTATGCGACGCATCGTCTCCCAAAAAGGGCAAATTATTGCATCCGGTCACCGGACGCGCAGAATAGGTTCGGACATCCAATAAAAACATGCCACGTCACCTTCGCTTTTGACTGCGCTTTGAATGTGCTTTAGGTGCTCTTTGGGTGCGCTTTGACTGCGCTTTACCTACGCTTTTGATTGCGCTTTACCTGGCTTTATCTGCGCTTTACCTGCACTTTTGACTTGTTTAATTTAAAATAATATTTTATTAATATTCGGACCTATCTCTGCATCCGATGACCAGATGCAATAATTTGCCCCCAAAAGACGAACTTTTATTAGGTCCTCTGACCGGACGTAGATCTACGTGCGGTCATCACCGAGTTACTTAGTTTTTGCTCGGTATTGCTAGGTATTGCTAGGCAATAACGAGAAATACCGCTCTGTGAAAACCAATACTGAGCAATACCGAGTAATACCAAAAAATACCGAATTTTTTTAGAGAAAACTCGGTATTTTTTGATATTACTCATTATTGCTTGATATTTTATCTTCACATAATGATATTTCTCGTTATTGTTCATATTGCTCGATATTTTCGTTTTATGCCTACTACTTGGCGCCATCTCATTGCCGATCAAACACAGCTCTACTAATTGGACCAAATAAATGTTCCCAAAAGACCGATTTTTTTTATGCGCATAACTAAAATCTTGTTAGCAGTATGGCATGCGCCGTCCTCCTGCTTCGAACTTGGCGGGCTTCCTGTCTTCGCTCCCCAAAACCCTGAGAAAACCCTAAACCTCAGTCTGTAGTCACTTTAGTTACTTCTCATGCAAAGGTCCTGCTCCCGCCTCCCTTCTATACCTAATATGCAACCTTTCAGCAAATTTCTCTTCCGTGAAAGCATTTCCTTACTTAAAGAATCCCAGCTCGTTCACACTTCCCCATTCCCATCTTTCGCCACCGCCAAGAAATTCTCCTCCGCCTATCGGACAATTGTTTCTTACTACGATCTGCGTGGTTTTCATTCGAGTGAGCAAATGCCGGAAGGAGAAGAAGGCGATGCAGCCGCTAGGGTCTGGGCTACCCACGAACCCATTTCAGAACAGATCATGGCCAAGCCGAAGGGCGGGGAAGTCGAGGAGGTTGATCATCCCGGGGCGGACAAGAGTTTACAGAAGGGGAAGCTGGAGATGATTTTGAGGAAGGCGGAAGGCTCAGGTGAAGAGGACGAGAAAACTGAACTTTTGTCGAGGGAGCGGTATAGATGGTCATCTCGTGCTGGAGGAAGGGTGAATGAGAAGAAGACCAAGATGAAGAGTTCTTGGGTCTGCAAGGAGTGTGGCGTAAACCTTGGACAGTGGTGGGGAACTTGCCCGTCGTGTAAAACTCCGGGTTCAGTGAAGCGGTATGCGGAGGCTAAGTTCCTTAAGTCGGGAGGGGAGTCGGTTTTGGATAATGAGGCAGTGAAGTTGACGGTTCCTCAAAGGCTGGCAGATGTGAACAAGGGAATGAACAAATCTGATTGGCGAATACCATTGTGAGTTTCTCTATGCTTTCTGAAGTGTTATTTTGTTCTGCAATCTACTGTAATTTAGCAGCGTCATGCTGTTTTCTACCTCTTATAGTCTTATTGTGCTAGTTTTAGGAGAGTTTATCCGAGCAGTTGTAAATGCCAAATAAATCAATTAGGGGGATATTGGGAGCATTTTTGAAAGAAACCGGAGTTTTAAATCCCTAAGAATCTGATATGCGGTGTGGAGCATTTCATCCATTGAAACTAAAAATAGATCGAGGGAAGTAATCAATCGTGCACATTCGTATGAATGATTCAATCATGTACTTCTTTTCATATTTTATGGCTAAACAAGTGAACTCTCCTAATTTTTGTTGGCCTTTGAATTTTGGGAAATTTAGATACTAAGGAGGGTGAAAATGTATGTTAAGTTAACCAGGCAATGAGTTAGAAGCAGTAAGGATCTAGTTCAAGTGAAGTCCATTAAGGATGAAAAAAAAAATATTTTTATTAGAATAGGATATTCGATATAGGTGGACCATGAGATATTTTGATGAGCTTTTCAGTGAAAATTATGAGAATACGATTGGATTTATTGATCTTAGCACCCTAAAAGAAAATATAAATTTTTATTTTTATCGTCGTATTAGTAAAACCGAAGTTAGAAAGGCATTAAAGAAAGTGAAGTGGAAGATCCCATGAATTTCCAATATAGGTGTGGAAATATTTAGGAGATTAAAGAATTTTTTGGTTTATTAAACTTTTTCAATATTATTTCGAAGACTAAAAAGATGCTACATGAGTGAAAAGGAGTGTATTAGCTCCTATTTTTAAGAATACAGATGATGCAGATGAGTGTGCGAATTATATAAGAATTTAGTTCATGTGTCATATATTAAAACTATGAGAGAGAGTAATTAAGCATAGGTTACGTTTTGAATTGTGATACTAATGTTTCTCAAAATCAATTTCGATACATGCCAGGTAGATGAGTAGTTCTACTATGAAAGCTATACATTTATTAAGAGTTTGATGGAGAAGTATAGAGAGAATAAGGAGGATCTATATTTGATATTTATTGATTTAGAGAAAGCATATGATAAAGCTTCAAGAGAAGTGCTTTGGAGAGTTCTTGAAAAGAAAAGAATTAATAACGCTTATATTCAAGTCGTTAATGATATGTATACCGGAACTATTACTTGTTTTCAAACACAAGATGGTCTAACCAAGTATTTTTCTATTTAAGTTGGATTATATTAAGTATCAACTTTAAGCCTATATCTTTTTGCTTTAGTCATAGATGTTCTTACTAGACATTTGAAATAGAAAGTACCTTGGTGTGTGCTTTTTGTTGATGATATTCTTCTGACTGATAAGTCCAAAGAGGGAGTTGAAGGAAAACTTGAAATATGGAAGTTGATGGGGACATTGGTGTATAGAAAGTTTATCTAAGGCGTGACCGCCGATCTACGGCCACGATCGCGCCGATATATTTTTAAGTCTTCATATGTACTTATTTTTATTTATATGTTTTTGTATTTTCTTTAGTTGTTTTCCCCTTTCTACCCCCTTACTTAAGGGTGATCATGTGTAAGCCCAAAGGGATAAGTCGTCTTTTATTTTTCGTCCATTGTATGAGGCTATATATAGCCCTTATGTTTTCTTTTGAAGGTTAATGATTAAATGATAACAAATTTTCTGTATTTTGAGTTCTTGTGAGAGCTTGAGAGGAGTTGGAGAGAGATCCCTTGGAGAGGGAAGCAGATCACCCACCAACCTTGGAAGAGTCCGGGTTCGTGGTTAGTTCTTCGTAGTTATTTTCTCCCTCTTCCTCCCTTCTCTTCTATCCCACGGTCCACCCCCACCCTAAGCTGTCGGCCAACTACTAATCCCTCCCCCTTGCCCTTTGGCTAGCACCCAAACCCTCCACCTCCATCCGACCCCATCTCCCTTCACCCCACCCGCGGCCAAGCCACCTAGCCGCCGGCCCCTCTTCCCTTTGTTTCAAAATTTACAATTCCCTCATTACTACTTTCCTATTCTACATTCTCTCTTTTGGGAAAGGTTGTAATTTCAATCATTCAAAATTTAAATTTGAATTTGAAACGTTTCCTAAAATAGAATCCTATTTTAGGAAAGTTTCTAAAATCAAATTCAAATTTAATTTAAATTGGATTGGAATTAAATTATATGTCCTAATTAGAGAATCCTATTTAAGAAAGTAATAAACCTTGTTTAATTCCCCCAATCTCCCTCCCTATGCCGCCAACCCCCTCATGGCTCGCTTTGGAATTATTTTCAAAAGTCAAGCTTCTCTCTTGGAAATAATTCAAAACCCCTCTCCCTCTCTTAGCCGCCTCCCACCCTTTCCTAATCACACCTAAATCCTTCACAAGTTAAGGATTAATTAGGGAAATAATTGCTTGATTTCCCTCCAACTTCCTTCACCCAAAATCTGAAACTTATTTTTTCCCTAAACCCCATTCTCCACCTCAATTCATGAGAGAAACTTCTTTCTCTCAAGAGGAGTCTTTAGGGGAAGCAAAGGCCATCGTCTTCAACACTTTAACCCTTCGGAACCGATGAATGGACGATCCCGACCTTGACTCCGGATTCGTCTACAACGAGCAAGGAAACGTCGACATTCTTCGGTCAACATTCTTCGATGCAACCTGGAAGTAGACCACTCCGCTGAAGAATACCTGGATCGCATCATTTTCACATTATCCGAAGCATTCGAAGAGCAGCTTGCCAACGTTCAGTAACAAAGTACTTCCGGTCCTCGACGAGGGTGAACTTCTACCCCTTTTCAAATTATCTTCTAATTCTCTGATCTTGTTGGTGGTGATTCAAGCACAAGGACTCGTGCCAAGCTCTCTGCCTTCGCTTAGTAAACATATGATTTGAGTTTTTGATTTTCTATGTTCTAACCTCAATGTTAACTTAGGGATTTTATTGAATAACTACTTAATTTGCTTTTTGTTGAAATTCTAAATTACTTTGGTGATTCTCATTCTTAGCATGTGATTTGGCCTAAGCGTAGCCACCCCTTTTTAGTTTTCTATTATCGTTTAGTGGCTAACGCTCATAATTATTAATTGCTCTTATTCAAAACCTGCAACTTTTTATCGCATTCATCCAAAACATACTTAGTCCTGCATCAGAAGTTCAACACAAAAGTGTGAAAACAAATATTGTCTTTATTTTACATAGGAGATTCAAAAAAGAAAGAAAGAAAGACAAAGTTGAACTATTCTTATTTCTAGATTGTCCACTTGACTCTTCTAGTTAATAAAGTCCATCTTTCACCCTAGAATGTCGAATCATATTCTCGATACTTTTGTGGTCCTAAGATATACAATATGAATAGTAAACTTCCATAGAACAATTAATATCTTTAGCAATTTTGTGGCACAGGTTTGTGAACTACTTAAGTAGATGGAGAATATTTTTGAGAATATGATGATTGTTAACATTAGTATCACTCTGACCTGCTACAGTTGTGGCGGTTCCATTGGCATTAATACTTTTTTGTTTACAAGGACTTGTGATGCGGGAGAGAAAATTTTTTGGTTATATCATGTGATTGGTGGTATGAACCAAGATCTTAAATTTTATTTGAGGCATTTAGTACATGTTATTGAGTTTTACTTGTGGAAATGTAAGAGAACAAGTGTCAGTAGCTCCGGATTTCTTCAAAAGCTTCAAAAATTATGTAGCTTACCAAGGCGTTTTTTTTTTCTGAGTTCAGCTTGTTCTGGAGAGCTTCTTTCACTTTTTGGTTAGGCTTGAGACATATTAGCCTAGCTTCTTGACAATCCACTCCTTCTTGCACTTTTTGTTGTTTTGTTGCTGTTGTTTCTGTTCATGAAGTTTCTAACACTTTCCTCCAACAAGTTTAGATTTTTTGCAGTATGCCCATCATGCAGAATCCTTATTTACGGATTCGGGCAAGTTGATTTGACCAGTTTCTCCAAATTGTTGATTGGCAGCTGCTTTCTTTAGATATTCTGTTTTAGTTACGAAAGCTGGGCTCTTAGTTGTTGAAGTCTCAATTATCACTCTTGTTATGCCGTATTATGTTCTTATCAAGGCAAGGATTTAATTAAATGAAGTAAGGTCATAAATTTAAACTTCAACCTCAAATCCAATATCCGCACTTTAACTTGGTCAGATTCCATGTTGAGTTCGACAATAAAATCATAGGTTCTGTCCTTATAAACAAATCTCTTCAACAGAGAAGCATCCTCACCATACTTCATTTGTGTGTTCTAATAGAGATTCATCTCCTTCCATATTGCAATTAATTTGATTGTTCTGTGACAGTAATTATCTTTCGTTGCCCTTTGAATCTTTGTTTTGATTTCATAATGTTTGCAACATCATTGGCCTTTAAGCATGTCTCACGGACAAAAACCTCTACTTTTTTGGTAGTATCAAGGATCACACATGTGTCATTGATCTTTGGAGCCATTTTGTTCAATAACCAGGACATCCCTAATGAAACTTGTTCATCTAATGCCTTGAATTTCGGATATTTTCAGCTTGACCTGGTACCAATCAATTGACTCAACTTACCTCTTCATTTCAAAACGGCAATGGACAAACTGAGATCATTAATAATTTATTACATTCAGGAGGTAGGTGGCTTGAATGTTTGATAACTCTCCTTCGGATTTCCCTGATATTTCTTACATCATGCTTATCTCGGAGGTACTGGAAGCATCAATGGCATGGCTCCTATGAAGAAATCAGCCAGACATGATACTAAATGGTCCTTTTACAACTATTGATAATAAGATATTTATATATGAATCTTTTGGTTTGTTATCAGTTTCCTCTGTTTTTTTTTCCGATCTGTTGATTGATTGGTATAAATTCTTCAGGTCTATTTAAGAAATTGGTTAGATATACTACACAATGTACCTTTACTACTATTGATAATAGTATATTTATGTATGAATCTTCTGTTTTGTTACCAATATGTTTTGATATGCATTTTATTTTTATTTCAAATGAATTTTTATTTCGATTAAAGAGGGAGTTGAAGGTAAACTTGAATTATGGAGGTCAACCTTAGAGTCTAAAGGTTTTCGTTTGAGTAGATCTAAATCCGTATACATGGAGTGTAATTTTAGTAGTAATAGATCTAGTGGGGGGTTTGTGACTTTGAGCGATCAAGTCATTAATCAGAGTACACATTTTAGATATCTTGGGTCTGTTGTTCAGAGTGATGGTGAAATAGATGGGGATATTATTAGTAGAATTCAAATTGGATGGATGAAGTGGAGGAATGCATCAGGCTTATTGTGTGATAGAAAAGTACAACTCAAACTTAAAGGAAAATTATATAAGATGGTGGATAGACCTGTAATGCTTTATGGCAGATAATGTTGGCCATTAAAAGAGAAGCATAATAGTAAGTTAAGTGTTGCAGAGATGAAGATGTTAAGGTTGATGAGTGGCTTTACTCTTAGAGACAGGATACGAAATGAGCATATACGTGAAAAGGTTGGAGTAGCTCCAGTGGCAGATTAGATGTTGTAAGAAAGGCTTGATAATTTTATATTTTCTTTTGCTTCCTTGTTAGCAATATGGGTATTTAATTTTGGATTACTGTTGGATTCCTCTAGGCTGTTTTGAACTGTGTTCCCTAGGCAATATTTGGATTCCCTTTGCTAACTTTTGGTTTCTCAAGTATTTCGGTTGGATGTTCATGTTCGTTCATGTTCCCCATGCAAATTTCGGTGGGCTATTCATGTTCTCCATTCAATTTTTGTTTCCCTATGTTGGCTGTTTTATCCAAATGTTGCTTCTTTTTTCTTGCTACTGTTTTCATATTCTAGGTGTATTAACTCATTAAAAGGGCTAACTTGTGAGGCTTCTATTGGTTACTTTGGATGGCACATTTATGCAGCTGTTGGGTCATTTTCCTCCTATATAAGGAGTTATTTTTTATGCAAGAGAGCACTATGTGATGATTTTTAGAATGTAACCTGCATGTTTTATTCTAGCTTGCAAGCTAGCCTCCTTTCCCCTTTCCCTCTTCTATTTCATTTCGGTTTTCTACCTCTTCTTTTCTATCAACAATTTCTGCCCCATCTTTATCTTTTTTTCTTTTAAATTATTGTAAGTCTTAAGTTGTGTCGTGTCTTGTTTTAATATAATTTGTAAGTGGTTTCTATTAGAAGTTAAAAGTTTTGCTGTGTTCTATTTGTCATATTGAAAGGAATGCCTTTTTTTATTACAATTCTAGTTGGTGTTTTTTCTTTTGCATACCTAGTGTTCTCTTATTTGGCTTAGGATTCCTAGGTTGCATCAATTTGATATCAGAGCTTTGGTTTTTTGTGAGTCTTCCTTTCTTTTTCTTTAGAAAAAAAATTGACAATTATTTACAAGCCGAAGTTTCAAGTCATGATGTAAAGGAGTCTCAAGATGAATTTGATTATGCAAAATTTGAAAGTCAACCTTCTATGCCAACTATTCCGTTAATTTTCATTGTAATAACTGTCATTAAGTTCTATGCAATTCTCATTCTTAAAATAATATAAATGTGAATTGATTTTTGTTATAGGAGTTGGGATAGTCTATTGAGCAAATGAATTGCTCACTCTATGTATTACGTGGAAAAAGGCACAAGATGCGAAGTGAAATCAAAATATCCTAATAATAAGACAATATGAAATATAGTTCAACTCAAATTCTATCTTTCCCAAATCACAATATTCTTTTCATTAACATATAATTCAAAAAATAAATAGCAATGACATATCACATAAGAACTCATAAGTCATAAGCACTGTCATTACTAAGGGGTCTTTATTTGAATCATCATTATGATGAATTGCTCTCTCCTCTCCTATAGAGTCCAATGTCTCCCACTCAGCTCCTATTTCACTTATTATACATTAAAAAAAATTTATACAAAGCATGCACTCATGAAGAAGAAGACTAACACTAACAACTATTACTAAAGATGATGAATACAACAATATGTCGGGCAGCCGGGGGTCCAAGGGGGCGCTGCCCCCTGGCGGGGTTCGACCTACCCGGTCAGGTCGGGGTCAAGGAGCAGCGCCCTTGCGGAAGTTAATAAGGTCAGGATCATCATGAGCTAGCTTAGTTGAGGCACTTTGTTAGTTTAGTCTTTTATATTTTGACATGTAGATTGAATTTTACTGGACTATTTGTATGTGATTCTTTTGAAATGAAATGTGAATGGTTGTTTTGATTATTTCTTTATTTTTGGAATTGTAGTTGGCTCTGAAATGTTTTGTACTGAAGTTGAGAAAATTAGGTTTAGGGTTTAATCTTTCCATTAGTTTTTGAGGCATGACAACTTTGAGGTGGTATACCATAAAAAATCTTTAAAACAAAAATGAACATGGTCTATTGTTTAACGTATGGTAAAAGCAAAACATTATTCACTGGCATGCAACTAAAATAATTTAGTTTTTCTTATAAAACACCCAAAAATTTAGTTTTTATGGCCTATCACCTAAAACTTGTGACATTGTCAAACATGCAGTGTTTTGTTATTGGGTCTCAGAATTTTTCATTAACTTTAGACTTACCAATCTTTACAAAAAGTCTCCTTCCCCTATACTTATCTGCATCCATAAGTCTCATTGGTGTTACCCAATTTTGGAAAACTACTGTGGAGGTTGCATCAGAGGTGGGCTGATCCCTCCGATGTGCTGCTCTGGTGTCAAGCAACACTTTTTAGGGATTGCTTGACATCAAGAACTACAAATTGGATCACAAAGCAGTGTTTATTTCATAGAAGATTGGTTGGGGTTTTTCTTCTTGCGGGATGGATTTCTTGATGTAAAAGTTGTACTGGGTCAGTCTTGGTAGCCATTGGTATAATTTGGGCCATTCCGTTAAGTTTATACCATTTTACATTAAATTTTATTGATCAAATGATTCACAATGTAACATGGTACTTGGTTTGTGTTCACGTTTAATGGCCAAAATGTGAATGAGAGCATGGTGATATTGGGGTTATAGAATCAAGCAATTCTTGTTCCAGCTTTGAGCGCACTTCTACAACTAAATCCAACAGGCTCATCATGTAAATAGATTTCCAGACCGAGGGTGCTTGATTAGATGACTATTAATAAAACCAATTTCGGTTGACCCATAGTCTGCTCATCTGCTGTGACATCTTTGCGGTCAAGATTTCCTGGCTCAAGCAATTTTGCCTTTCAACTTGCTTCATAAAGCTTTTTATAGTAATTAAGCGTGGAGTTCTAGGGTTGTAACTTAACTGGCATGGAAACCTATTTCGAAGCAAACTGCTCCGCATGCTTTTTTTCTTAAAATTTTTTCCCAGTTCAGAGGAAATTACTACAAATCTTATCAATTTTTGCTAGGGTCAACTTGATATGAGATAGACAGGGATGGACACTTGTTCAATAATTACCACTTTTCTTAGAAGGGGAGGATCCAATAGTCCCCTTCTGCCAGTTTTTTGTTTGTGGTGACAGGTATACCATTGGAATTTTCAATTTTGATTATTGTTTCTCCTACAGGATCATACGGATATTTCATTATAGTGATGTTGGTTGAATGGTGATCCATAACACAAGTTTTTGCTTCTTACTGTCCTTCAGAGAAACTGAGAAGGTAACTAGGATTTATGGAGGTTTATTGCTTAGTCTGAGTTACAGTTGCTAATAATAGTTCACTTGTGGTATTTAACTTCCTCTGTATTTGTTGCTATTTTTTTGCTTTTTTATTCTCGTTTAACCCTGAAGTGATCTTCATAAAAATGTCGGATTTGCTTAGTTCAGCAAGCACTTATACATAATCTATTTCTGAAAATTTTGCAGTACATTTAATCTTCTGTAATTTTAATATCCTTTATCCTTAAAATATGATAATTTGTAAAACGTTTGGGTAACAACAAGAAATACATTTTATTTGCTCGGTTTATTCCTACACATAAATGTGCAGCCCTCATAATATTAATCATTCCTGCATATCATCTTCCCACCCTTTGTGTCCGCATACAAACGTGGCATCATGCATTTCTTTTGTGCATTTTTTCTTCTGTTATGAGATTTGATAGGTTATTAGTTTAGTTTTCCAGGTAGCAGTACTCAAATGGGAATTTATACTATTTGATGTGCTCTTCGAGTGCATATTAACTCTAATTTTCTGTTTGAATTGTATTTATTCTTCCTTTCTACTATTTAATTTATGAATAAAAATACTTGTAAAATGTAAAACATATAAACAATTCGTTCTATTTCTTTGAATTCATAGGAACGGTCATCTTGGGATGGAGGTTGCTAGGGTGCTTGGTGGTGGTATTGTACCAGGTAGGTTAATACTTTTTCTGGATTGTTTATTTGAAGTGCTTTATACGCTCGTTTCATGTGGTTTTGTTTTTTTACCAATACCGATGATTGGAATGTCCAATATTGAACCTTAACTTTCAAAAGGTGAATTGTTTTTATTTTTGAGTCTAATTGCAGTGGCAAAAAATTTCTTTCCAAAAGCCATGATTCCTTATTTTTGATGTTGCTTTTATAAATTGGCACGTTAGAAATAGTACTTATGCTACTATGATTTTGGTACACATTTTTCACAATTGCAACTGAACCAAATTGGTGTTTATAGTTTGGAAACTCGATTGTATATGTTTATTATTTCCAGTTGAAAATTTTTTCTTTGATTATAATTCAAATTGGTTTGATTCTTTAATCTTATACGTTCCAAATTAATCTAACTGATAAGATTGGTTTAAAATTATAATTATTACTGTGAGATATGAAAATTCGCGCCCAGGCCTCTTCGTGGACCCTTTCAGTCTCTTTTTTTTTAAGGTTGTCGAGGAGAGTTTTAATGAGTAAGTTTTGAGGCAAATTTTTAGAAGACAAATTTGGTTGTGAATGTGAGATCACCTAGAGATTTCACCCTCATTTTGCGAGGACTTTATAATATGAGTTTATGTTTTTTATTGGCGCAAGCACCTATAGTTAATTATCACTCCTGATAACGAGAGAGAACTTTCAATTAATGTTTGTCGTCGAATATATACAGGGTATCTAGCGTATAGTGGCAGCGTGATTTATGTATTTAAAATTAGAAATTCATTACCTCACACTTAAAGCAGATGGTGGGGGGAATGATTATGAACCCGATTAAGATCCATGGTTCCGTTGTCTACGATTATCATAATCCCTATTCTATTTAGTCAGAGGAGGTTGTCGATCCAACATAACATAAGGATTCTTGTGGACAGCCATGGGTTGCTTCGTCCAAGGGTACCTTATAGACATTGGGTGAATATTTATATAAGGGGATAAATTTAAATTCACCTTAGCTAACAGAGGGTTTTGTGCCTTAATGATTATATCCTATTGATTTATCACTCAATGATTTCTATTGGGTAACTTATGGGCTCTACCATGACCTTGAGAATGAATCCTAATGATATTCTCGACCAGACATATGCTCTTTGTGAGCTGAAGTAATTTCAGATTTGTACTCCTCGGTAAATTTGTTTCGGAGTGCGGATGAATTTTGCTTTAATTATTTTAGTGTTTTATCTAAATTTAAAATAGTTTTGGTGATTTTTAAGTTTTGAATTTTCATGGGAATTTGGGATGCATTTTGGGTCCCATCTGGTTGAGATTTTCTATCAACACGGCCATCATCAGAGTTTTATGATCAATTTCATTTTGTTGACCGGACTTTTCCTACTCCATCTACATGTCGACAGAGGATCGGGCATGTCGTCGGTTTTGTGCCTTTATTAGTAAATTTTTTCTTGTTATAGACCTTGAGGGCCTAATATGAACGTATAAAGCAAATATCCCGATCGATGCCGCAACTGCACATTTGTTTGATGGATCGAGCCATGTTGACTCCTATTTATTCACATAGAAGGATCGGGCTCGAACTTAAATTCATTTATTGAATCGCGCAGCATCCCAAGATGTCACATGTGTACAAACATCTCGCTCTTCGGGGCCAATGTGGGCGTCTGATTTTGCATGTATTTTTTATGTTGCACTTATATGATAACTTTTTATGTGCAGTATAGGTGGTGTATACGATGCATTTGCATGTTCACATACACACTCATGTATGCATCTGCATGTTGACATGTTAGTGTATGTATTTGTGCATTTACTTGCATGTATGTATGCTGACATGTGTATTTTCATCCTGATGTGTTTGCACAATGCATCTTCCATGTTAGCTTGATGTAGTATTGGATGATTTGCATGCATAATACTTTTGTATAGTGTTACAATGCTTTCGTACAATGCATGATATATTTACATGTTGGCATAGTGCGCCGCTGTCGCGCATCATGATTTACATATTGAATTGGGTGCCTGCATAGTTCACTTTGTATGATGATTTAGTGGTCTCATATAGTGCGTGATCTGTCTGAATGTCATCGTCACATGCTGCCACTATATAATACATTTTATATGTTATACAGTGTACTAGTGTAATGCATTTCATTTGTTGCAATGTATAGCGTGTGATATTTTTGCATTTAAATGCAATGATGAATGTCATGTTTGAATGAAACCCTATACTTATTGCAAATACATGCGGGAGGTTGTTTTAAAGTGCTTGATATCAATCAGTTGCGCATGTGCAATATCTTTGTATGTAAATGCAATGCTGAATGACATGCTTGAATGAAATCCTCTGATTATTACAAATGCATGCGGGAGGACATTCTAAAGTGTTTGATACCTACATGTTGTGCATGTGAGATTGGCTGTCATGTGGGTGTGCACAACAATTTATTTAGAAGCTTGTAGACTCATTTTGTCCGCTTGTACGAGCGTTGCAGATCCGTTGATGTAATTAACATCATATTGGGCCTCATTTGTCACGTATCTGCTATGCAGTTTAGTTCACTTCATCTTCTGTATATTGCCATCTTCGTCAATATTCAACCTGTAGGATTGTATTTCTGCCGGCAGTGCACTCTACAATGTATCAGGAACTTTCCACCTATCGTCTACAAGTAAATTGATCTATTCGTGTGACAGCTTGGCGTTGCAAATCTGCTGCCTCAATTTATTAGTGGACCACGATTTTTACTACCGATTCTCTGCTTTGCTTACAGATGAATCATATCATTGGCGAATTTCGTTGAATTTGTCCGTGGGTAGCGTGCCATCAGCGGAAGTTCAAAAGTAGTCTGTCGTTGCATGCAAGTGAATTGCATTCAACGTATATTTTGCTCGTAGGCAAGTTGTAGCGCTGCGTTATGCGTCGCCCGTTATTTCTTGCCGTCTGGTTGCTGTGTTATGCAAGTTTTGTTGAGTCCGCCTGTAGGCTATCAACGGGCATTAAAAGGTCACTAGCTGTCGTACACGGAATGCTGCGTACATGATGCATCTCCTACAGTGCCTTGTAGGTACTTGCATTTGTTGTGTATTGACTGCCTCTACTTGTGGGAAATTACTGCATTTGTTTGGCACTAAATTATTATTGATTGTAGGAGTGATGTAACATTCATTGCATGTTGCGTAGTGTATGTTTGTGAGTAGTACCATTGTTTGTAGACGAGTTGATGTATTCATTTGAAAATTGATACAGGCTATCGGGTAAACTACATTCGTTCACACATCAACTTTCGCTGTTCACAAAGAAACTTGATGTAGGCAAAGGGGGGGTCAAATCAAACTCAAAAATATTTGGTTTTGACTTCCCTTGAGCTTACTAGCTCAATAAATTTTGAGCTGAAATTTAGCTTATTCTGAGCTGGTTTTTAGTTCATTTACCAAACAAACAGGAGAAAGAAGCCCGCTATTGAACTAAAGGTTAGCTCATTATTAGCTAGGTTTTAGTTCATTAATTATCTTAATTATGTAATTTTTATTTATAGTTTTTATCTCTTAAATTTTAGTTTGTCCCTTGGGATTCCGAAATGGCTTTTGGAATCTCTATGTTGGTTGTTTTCCGTGCTTGGCTCCTTGGCTTCCACGGTTGGCTGTTTCCATGCCTTGGCTCCTTGGTTCCCACGGCTGCCTCCTTGGTTTCTAGCGGCTGGCTCTTGGATTTCCATGCCTTGGCTCCTTGGTGTCCACGGTTGGCTGTTTTCGTGCCTTGGCTCCTTGGTTTCCATGGTTGGCTGCTGGTTTTCCGTGCTGGGTGGTTTTACCATGACTTGGTGCCTTGGTTCTGTGCGGGCTCTTTGGTTTCTGCGGCTGCCTCTTCGGGCCTTTGGCTGGGCGGTTTCCCGTGGCTGATGGGGGGCTTTTCCGTGGCTTTGGTGCTTTGTTCTTGGCATAGAATTATGTGGCTTTTATTTGCTTAGAATGTGAAATGTTTTTGGGGTTGTTTGTATTCCCCTCTCATGTCTATAAATAGTAGTTGTTTGTGGCTGTTTTAGCAAGTGAAAAAAATGTGATTTTTGGAAAGAAACCTGAGGGTTTTTGGAAAAGCATGCGAGCTTTGTCCACTTATTCTTCTTCTATCTCTTGGGGAGACTTGCGAGTACTTTCCACCCTTCGTGTCGGCTTCTAGCTTCTTTCGTTTCTCCGCAAGTGCCATTCCATCTGTATCTTTCTTCTCAACATTTGGCAAGCAGTTTTAGGAAAGTTATTATCTTTATTATGTTGTTTGTTTGTGTTCAAGTTTGTAAGTGTCTTATATATTATATAAGTTTGTCAAAGTTTGTAAGTCATCTTTTAATATTAAGAAGTGTATTTTTTGGGTATTTTTGTGTATTTCTTTTATAATATAGGAAGTGTTTGTTTTTGTGATAAAAAATTTGGGCCCTCTCCCAAATTTTTGATTGCATTAAAACTCCTCATCCTTGCAACATATATACTGCTGGTTGCTGGTAGGCTGATGTGTTTGTTGTGACCCCTCATCAGTATTTGCAGGGAATTCATCATATTCGTTGTGCGATGATTATCGCAGCTTGCAGGGGCTTAGTGTGTGCGTTTGCTGTAAAGTGGCGTTGTCTCCAAGCCACATTTGTTTTCAAACTTTTTAAACACTTTTTGGTTGGCAATTTATTACACTCATTGCACACCAGGCTCAGCTGCTCACAAGAGACTGATGCGTTTGCTTGCAAACTTAATTGACATTGATTGTGGGGATGTCATCGTCTTCATTACATTCATTGCCTACCAACCTCTTTTGCTTGTAGAAGGTTGGTGTGTTTGCTTAGCATCGGTTGTAGGAGGTTAATGCGTTTCTCTTGCAAGTTATTTGATGTTGACTGTAGGCGGGTTATATTTGTTCCAACTTCCTTGTGCATGCTTGCTAGTAAGCTGCCACGTTCGTTACACCTTCCTTGTTGTCGTTCACAGGTTACCTGCTGTGTGCATGA